GATTATATGGGACGTAAGGAAAGGGAAAAATTGACAATCAAAAATGAATTCTTATGGCTGAATACTAGTATGTCTTCCTTCCCTGCGGCTAATTAGAACCCTCTCTGTCGCGTTTTACCCAACGATGCTGTACCCTTATCGGGGCAACCGTCTACCTGGGATACCAGCCATTTAGATGCTGGAGGGAAGGGAAACGTATTCGCGTTTTTGGAAAGTGTTTTTGCTTGCAGACATATTTAGGTTTTCCCTGGTTCTAAGTGCTTTATATCTTCCTTTCCCGCTCGCCAATTTTTTTGAAGAAAAAGAAGAAGTGGAAAAGGGAAAAATTCACGGTCTCCAGAAGAAGGGTAGGCAGATTGAGAGATTTTCGGAAAATGATGAAGGTATAATCGGGATGGGCAGAGGAGGTCGTTTTAGAAAGTTTCCAAAGGGGAGAGGGATCGTATTTTGCAAAAATCATCCCCAACGGCAAGGATGTAGCGTGGTCTAACCTTGATCGGAAGTAAGGAGAGCCAAGAAAGTAAGTGAAGTTGAACTTCTATGATGAGGTAGCCGTGCCTGAGATAGTAGTAAACAAAAGGTGCACTGACGACACTGTTCCTCATCGCAATGACGTTCATCCCTGCATTTAAGCTCATCTGGCTCGTACTTTGCAAAGGCCTGATAGACATCAAATTCTTTATTGATATGAAAGGGTATTAAATGGTATGCGCTTCCTGGAAATCCTAGCCAGTGCTAATCCTCTTATTCTTTTTGCATATGAATCAGCAGGGAACGTCAGATTCTTTTCTGAGCAAAGAGCACAGAAAATGAACTCTCCTTGTTTCAAGTTAGCGCTACATAAGTGCGCTGAGTGTTTAGGTCAGCAATGAAAAAGCTTCAAGATTAATTTCTGATTAAGTTTACAAGGCGGCTTTAATGGGCCTTAATGTGGGGGGGGCATTTTGGTAGTTAGATAATTTCTTCAGTTTCCTCACCATGATAAGACTTGTAAACTCCGTGTAAACTTACTGAATGGTACGAGCCTCTCTATTACCCGCTAGCCTGTTGACCTCACTTCATATCTGTGGCTTTTTTTGGTTTCACAAGGTTACAGGTCTTTACAGTGGTTTGTACAATAAGATCGCCTACAGATCGGGTGTATCAGGTGGGAGGGGACGGGGCGGGGGGGGGTGTGGATGCGAAGCAGCATCCCTCTTCCATCAATTCTTGTTGCTTAGTTTCTCAAACAACTGTGTGAATAGCAGGCTGCCGCCGTCCAAAAGCAGTCCCCTGAAAAGCCCCAGCCCGTCTAAACAATCTAACGCTGAGTCCATTCCTTAGGTTCACAGGAGTTTGCAGGTACTCCCGTTGATAGGAAGTAGCTATATTCTCCCACTGAGTCGAACAGAGCCGAAGCTGGCTAGCGTCCGTGAACTTGAAAAGTTGAACTTCATGGGGTTGGCCTGCAGTGCTGTAACGAAGGTCCTCCGAAAAAATGACATAGCAAGCTTAAACCAATTTTCCTATATTAATCTCAAGCGAGGCGGAGGTGGTGTAGCGACAAGTGGCGCGCTTACCACTCGCGCGGTCCTGGGTTCGAATCCCAGGTCGACTCCCGCCCAGGCCAACCAAGCCTTCTACCCTCCGGGGACGGTAAATTGGTACCAGATTCGTCTGGGAGGATAAAACACTGACTTGTACATCGGCTGGCCACCGCAAGTCATTGTATAGGCCACATCGCATTCAATAAGCCACTACGATTCTGAATGGAAGTAGAATGCGTGCCGCATCCCACAAAGGGATTGATCAACGGCGAAGACTTTATCCTTTATCCTTTATCCAAGCGTATGAAGTCGTCTTCTCACAAAGAGAGAGCGTTACGCTCTTTCCAACGCAAAAACTCCCATTAAGAACGTCGTGTTCCGTCAAGTTTTACGGGTGCAATAACCGTGGATGTTTAATTTGGAGTCCCTGAGAAGCTTTACTATTGTACAACCTCGTGGCTTTTTACATGATATCTGTAGCATTACTACTTACTTCTAGCGACAACAAAGACTGGGAGGATGGAACTGGTGAATCCTCGACAGCGATGGTGGAGATCTTCAATTCCCCGATGTTACTGTTTCACTAGTTTTTTCACCTTCCTATACAGTAAGGTTCAAAGAGCAACGAAGAACCACTTCTCTAACCTGGTCATCCTTACATCGTGAGTTCTACCAGTTGGTCCTGCCGTGGTGACACGATGCATTAAAAAAAACCAGTTTCGCTTCATTACCCACCGAAACATACATACATACACTTGAAATCCATGAGATTCAATAGGCGTGGAACCGAGGTGGCGGCTAATTTTCGTAAGATATTTTGGTTTTGGGACAGTTGTAATCACTTCATTGTCCAACACAGCGCAAGATGACGAGTGTTTCAACCTAAAATATCCCACGGGTATCCAACCCCGTGCCATGTTTGAACGCCCCGCCTACCCCGTCCTACGGAGTGTTCTGGAGACCCCACGCCGTAGCGGCTACGCCAACATCCTGAGAGTCCTCTTTTAAAAATTAACCACACTTCTTTGATTGTGGTGTACTGCCAAGTGTCCTCAGAGTAAGGACACCGTGCACTACGTGCGCAGCTCGCTGGTCGAATCCTGGATCGGCTCAGGCCAGCTAACCATAAGCCTTCCTTACTCTGAGGACGGTAATTGGTACCAGATTCGCCTGGGAGGACAGGTACAGTCGAAGAGAAAAAACTTGGAACATGCCCAAATCGCCCGCTTTTGATAATAATTTTCAATTTACAATTTTTAAATTTCAAATGAAAACTTTGTTTGCTCAAATCAACTACACCTTGGAATGCTATTCTGAAAAATAAAAATGGTTGATTAAAGGCAGCGCTCGCGTTCAATTTGATTAGTTATGGGGCTCAGACAGTGACAACAAGGTAGCAAGTAGTTCATTAGTGAAGAAAAATGCAAAAAAATCATCGGATATGCCCTATATAGGACCCCACGCCGAGCTGAGGTTGTACGTGCTTAAGGCGAAGAGAAGGCGCGGCCGCACGAGTTCTCACTTGTTGGTATCAGCTGTTTTCCCTTATCACCTCACTCTCACCATTCGAGTGGAGAGTTAGTAGCGGAACAACCGCACCATCAGGCAACCATTAGAAATGAAGTTGGGCGTAGTGGTCGCCAGGTGGGCGGGGTGGCCGACTCTTCACCAGCGGGCACCGCTGTTCTATCGCATTTTTGAGTTGCGAAACTGGTACGTCCACCATATCCTCATTGCGTGTGCTACGATATCCAAAGAGAGCGTGGAAACAACAAAGGAACGCTGCCTTTAAAAGTCGTTACGGGGACAGAATTTTGAAGATTATTGCAATGCTTCATGCCGCTGCCATTCTGATAATTGAACGGTTTTCAAAGTTTCTAATGCTTTGGGAACAACATCGGTTTTTCGAGAGTTGTAAAAAAAATGAAAGAAGGGAGTGACACTCAGGCAGGTGTGATCATCTTCCAATGGATCGCAAAGCATTAGAAACTTTGGAAAACCGGTCCAATATCAGATGTTTGGCGCGGCATGCCGCATTGCAATAATCTTCAAAATTCTGTCCCGGTAACGAATCTAATCAACAAACTCTATTTTTTGGAATAGCATTCTGAGGTGTACTTGACTTGAGCAAACAATGTTCTCATGTGCAATTTAAAAATTGTATGTAAAACAATTAAAAACGCGCGGCTTGAACTTGTTCTAAGTTTTTTTTTTTCCGCGACTGTATGCTGAGGGCCGAGGGCTAGGGTAGGTCTTGGAGGTCCCACCCCCGTTCTCCAACAACTGTGGAAGCTTCCGTGCGACCACAATTGTAGATAACTGGCCGTCACCTCGCCCCTCAACCTGCTCCCGGAGACGCCCTCACATCAGCGAACAACCGGCAGTAATATACGCTGGCAATGGATAACATGGTGGTCGCCGCGTGGGAAAAACGGGTATTTTTACATTTTCATTATTCAACCGAAGCGTTACCAAGGAAATGAAAGAAAGCATTTCAACCGATCACATCTATACAGCTCCCAGTTTTCAAAATAACATTTATTACAACTCTTACAATTAAATCTGACAAGGAAAATGATAACCGAATAAACTGACAACGTAACGAACATAGTATTCATGATCACTCCGTAGCATCATGGTTCTTACTCGATGCACGGCAAAAATTTTGGACTACATTAAATTATTCATAAATCAGCCAGTTCACTATTTGGAGGCACTCTGAAAGCACAAAAATAATCTCTAGAAGTTAGCCTAGGGTTTATTTGTACAACAGAGCTCACCGGATGCGCCGCCGCAGCTTCCTTGAACTTGTCGTGGAATTCCTTGGCAATTTCAGCTGTTTTGAATTTCGCCGTAAATATCTCATCCACACCCTCATTTGATTCCGAATAATCCTTAAAGTCAAGCTCTCGCTTATGACGATAATTTCAAAGTAATTATGAACTTCACAAGACATTAAAGGACATGAACATTCAATAAGGTTTTTCCTAGAATACTCTGAGCCTTCTCATCACACTCATTTCATAAGGGAAGGACAAGACAATCGTAATTCGTCGAGTTTTCGCGCGCGAAGCAGCAGCAAATTGCCGATCCGCATTGTTTAGCAACTCATGAGCCCAGACAAGTTCCATAAAACGCTATATCAAAATGTTCTGCTTCTTCAGCACTTCAACTCAAATCTTCAGGCCATGACAACGTCCTATAGGCGCCGACGTTTCGCCACTCCAAGGGCATATTACGATTGTCTTGTCATACACCCATTCCCCCTCCCCTCCCCTCCCCTCATTTCATAGGAGATAGACTTCAGACAAACAACTAAGGGATAAAATCTACTTATGGTTAGTATTCTAAACAAAAGTCGAAAAATAAAGGTAAAACCCCCAGAAAAGGGGTGCATAACCATAATAATAAGGCTAAAATCTTACGCGACATATCCAATTGTAGACGTTTGGCATTCCCTTCTTTTCATTCAATTCAATTGTGGGCAGGATAGCGAAATTCGCACATACTTTATGCACTTGTTCGCGGCGCATCACCACACGATGAGCATTATTTTTAGGATTACGAAGTATCTGAAAACAAGTTAATTATAGAGCGCAAATGACAAATTAATGAAAATGAGTACACGGAGAAAACGCCAACGGAATAGGGTACCTTGAGATCACCAACACCACGCTCTTTATTCTCTTTGGTCTCCTTGATGAAACGGAAAAGTTTCGCCCTAGCAACAAACACGACCTAAAAAGTAAAAGTAAGTCATTAAAAACGCATAGTGACATATAAATGTCAGATCAGCC